AGACTAGGGAAGACATTTTTGAGCCACCTTTGGCAAAGTAGAAAGGAACGATTGGCCATCGGTGATCGGTCCTGTGGGAACAATGCTCCGTCCTCTCGAGGACGCGTGGTCAATGGTCTAACCGCTAGGGCATGCAAAACATAAGAGTACGAATCCCCCCTCCCCCCCTTCCGGACTCACTTGTTGGGTGCTCGATCCTCCTCTGCTTATATTTCAATCTCCGTATCACGTCAGAACATCTACTCGTGCAACGAGGGTAACTTCGACAGCTGGGACGAGGAGATCAAGAGGGCGGTCATGGGCTTCAAGACGGAGTCGCCCCCGTGGGCGCAGCGCTACGTGGGGTCCATGGTCTCGGACGTGCACCGGACGTTGTTGTACGGCGGGCTATTCCTCTACCCCGCCGACAAGAAGTCCACCAAGGGTGGGTTAGAGGCGACGAGGAGGGAGTGTGGTGTTGTTCCAGTATAGTGGTGGCCGAAGTCTGCGTTTTTTTGTTCACGGACATGTGTTTGGGTGCTGTAGCTCGTCTGAGGCCGAAAGAGAAAGACGGTTGACTCAAGACCTTGTTGCTGAGAGAGTGAGAGACATGCGGCAGGCAACACCATCGCCATGCAGCATTCCCATCAACACATTTCATCCGCGTACCCCCCGGGAGGCCCCGTAGACATTGTACTCTGCCGAGTACCCCAAACAAAGTGTTTGTATAGTGATATTCATGGCGGCTTGTTCGGTAGCAATTAAAAAATGTTCTTGTGTGGTTGTATCCTTTGCACATCAATAAACTTTTTTTCGCTTGACTCCCACTGCACAAACAGACAAATACACCATCACTGAACCCCCAGTAGAAATTTGCATTTCTCGTCATATGCTACGGTTTCTGCCTGTAACCCGAAGAATAGCCTAGCCTCTCCCATGACATGCCCCTTCACGGGGTCCCAGATCATCGCGTTTAGAAGTGCCTTCTGTTTACAGCCGCACGGACTGTTGTGGTATACTCATTGGTTAGTTAGCCGGTTGTCGCGGTTGATGCTAGTGAACACACACACACGCATCAACGCGCTCGCGCTTTTTTTGCCGCTTTAGTAGTGACGTCTTTTGTTAGCGCTAATTGAAAAATCACCCACACACATCCCACAACTAGGCAAGCTGCGAGTGCTCTACGAGGGCTTCCCGATGGCCCTCATCATCGAGCAGGCCGGAGGATCCGCGTCAACGGGCATGTTCAACGGATCTATCGGCCGGGTGCTGGAGATCGCCCCCAAGGACATCCACGAGAGGTGCCCCATCATCATCGGGAACCCGCCGTTCGTCGAGCGGGTGTTGGACGAGTACAAGAAGGCGTGATCGCGTTCGTCATATCACGACACACCTTGTTAACAATTGCCTGTCTGTGTGATCGGTTGCCATCGAAGGAAGGTGACAAACCTGCTTCATGCCTGCCGTGTGATGGATCATTATTGATGGAAGGGAGATGAAATAGCGGCGTTTTTTTTTCTGTGCCGAAGTTGATGCTGTAATCTCTCCTTAAGTGTTACGTATTTATTTTTGTCGCTTTTCTCGGCAGGAAAGCGTTGTCGTTGTTCGTTTCTTGCCCCTCCCGCGTCAACCCCCAGAGATGGGGGCCTGAGAGTGCCAGGTGCATATGCCACGTTGTTTGTGTTGTTGTTGATCGGTCGTTCATGGTCTCAAAAAAGAGAGCTCTCTCAAATAGAACTCATCTACAGAGAGAGCGAAGGCAGTGGTGTCGTCGACTCATTGACCGACTGCTTGCTCTGTAGCTTCATGTGCTTGTCCTTACATTTGCTGTGTGTGCGTCTTTCGTTTGTCTTTTTTTCTTTTTCATCGACTCAGAGATAGGTGGATATGATAGGATCCGATTTGAGTAGACTGCTTTTTCTTGTTTTCGTCGACTCAGAGATGGGTGGACATGATATGACCCGGTTGAGCAGATTGCTTGGTCCTTAACCTCACCAGCGCCGGACAAAGAAATGGGCCACTATGGCTCCCAAATCCGTGCATTAGTATGTAGACTAGTCTATGCGCCATATAGACTAAGGAGAACGAAAAGACTTTGACGCTCATCTGGTTGATGTAGACAACGTTTCTAGTTCGTCTACCACGGTACAGGGAGAGAAAGGCTGCCCGCAGTCTTTTGGTTTAAGCCTTTTTTTTCGAAAAGAAATTTCCCGTCGGCGAAGTACCCCTGGTCGGCCGGTGACGTTCTTCACGGTAGAGAGAGGCAAGAGAGAGAAAACTGCCCTCGGTCCTCTGATCGGCGATTACTTTGAAAGGAAATTTGCTGTCGGCGAAAATTCCATCAAGCGGTGATGTCATCCACCGTCGTGACGTCACCTCTCGGGAAATTAGTTCATAAATTAAATATCACCGGTGGATGATTGAATAGTTACGCCAGGAATTTGGCAATCGCCAACCGCACGTACGTGCACGTGCCTGAATAAAGGCCTCCGCCGAGTGACAAACCGCGTCGTTCTCTAAATTTGCTACGGTTTACCTCCGATCCAGGGTTTACAAAGGAAGTTGCTTCGGTCGTAGATTCCAATGGATACGGCCTCGTAGATTCCCGTGGATAGGTCCAGTACGCATGGCGGTATCGTAAGCCATCGCAACTGAGGTTTGGCTACCAACCACCTTGAAGGAGGCTTGACCAACAAACCATCTCAAAGCATGTTTGGCCATCCACCAACCACTCAATGGAGCAGGTAGGTTCAACATGGCACCATCGTAGGCAAGAAGAGCATCCAAAACACATGTTCTGCCAAAACCAAACGCGTACCGGGGTGGCCGGCTTCCATGCAAAAGACAGAGGGGGCTGAGCAACGCGTCACGGCAGCATCAATTACCAGGAGGGACAGACTACCACCCAAAAGATGATACCGCACACACCCGTGCGGGCTTTTTTATTCTAGTCACGTCACACACACACCTTACCCCGCCTCTCTGTCCAAAACCTCCGCAAGCAAAATCCGGGCCGATCGAAGGCATACGGAAAAAAGAGCAAAAAACAAAACACGTCGTACCCTGGGCCAAAAAACGTCCATGTCCCGCTTGCCCTTTCTTCTATTCTCTCTGCTGGAAGAGCTTTCTGCTTGGAGGCGAGGAATAACGGTAAGTGCTGCATTCGCTCTTTTGTCCATCTCGGAAGAGAGTTGCCAGGAGGCAAGGAACAACGTCCACGATGCGCTCGCCCTTTTTGTCAAGAGCATTCTGCTTGCTGGCAAGCAAAAAGCTCGCGCTTCTTCTATTCTCGTGGAGGCGCCTTGCTCTGCGCGAAGGCAAGCGCTCCCGCGCTGGCCTTCCGGCCGCCCTTCTCAGCCATCTCCGCGAAGTGGACCGTCTGGGGGAGGTCGTTAGCCGCCACGGCTGCATCGGCAAGGAGGACGTACACCTCCGGGTTGGGCTGAATTCGCTGCGGGCACGTGCGGACGGTAGTGGGAGTGACAGCGGCCAAGATGTGTATGTGTGTGGGGGACTGGGGAACTGATGTTCGCCTGCCGTAGTCGTTAGTACATAAAGTATGGTATATTGGGGGGGGGGAGGGCGTACTCTCATCTTTTG